TTTTCTGTTTACTGCAGCTAGAACAGCTGAGCAAATGACTCAGTCACAGAGTTCATGACCTTTTGATGACATCAATATGTTGAGTCAACGGTGTTTACCTGCTTGGTTTTTACACAGGAATTTGAATTTGTGTTTGATTTGTAATTTTGTTCAAACGTTGAAGCAAATGCAAATGTTTCTGGAAAATGCATACAGTACATTTCTTTATCTGGAGGTGAGCTTGATTCCCACATGGATCAACTTCAGATCTCTTTTGATTTATTAACGTCAACAGAAAATGTTGTGATGTCATCTAGCTCATATATTTATGCAGCTTAGCAGGAGCGTCGCTGAAGGAGGTTTACAGATTGCTAAAACGCTGGACTTTGGTCCCACATGCCATCAGGTCAGTTTAATATGTAAAATGAAACTTATCACCCACCGAGCTCAGAATCACCAAAGGAATCACGTCGCAGAATTTTAATTCTGGATTTAAAAACCAACCAGAAAATGTTTCAGGCGGTTTTGTTTCTCAGTTTTTCCAGGAAAGGAGTAAAATGTGAGTTCCGAAAAAATAACTTTTCAACTATGTGATCGAAAGATAAGAAATACATTTGTGGCTTGGTGTTTTTCTTTTCAGGGACTCGGTTTATGAATGAGCTTCAGGTCTCATTAAGCTTTCTAAACAACACTATCCTGATTCTAAACTCCTTGGTCGGGCTGAGGACTATTTAGAGTTTAAACCAAAGCAGAGCCAAGACTTTCCTGATGAAGACTGTGGTTGAATCAGGAGTCTAAATGAGCAGTCGTATCACTGATTTGGACCTCATGCTAAGATCTGAACGTACGCCCTGCAGAACGCTGTCAATCTGATTGGAAACTTTGGAGCTGATGTTCAACCCAAACACACTTTTCCCGAGACCGCAGGACAGTGCCTGAAGTCCAGGCTATTTTTAGAGCCGCTGGAATGAAATCGGTTCAACAAAAATATTTCCAAAAGATTCTGAGAAGTTGAATCATTTTATTGTTGCTCAAACACTGAAGGTTTGGCAGATTGCTGTGTGTGTGTGTGTGCGTGTGTGTGTGTGTGTGTGTGTGTGTGTGTGTGTGTCACTGATTGTGTTTCCTAAACCTAAACAGATATGACATAATTGTGAAAGAAAGTGAAGATATGTGAGAAAGGAAATGGAAAAATCTCGGCGGTGCAGACAGGATGGAGCTCCACATTCAGTTTGATCTGAATGAACACAGGCCTGTTTTTATTGTGAGGCTGTTTATGCTGCCTGTATAACAGCCAGTAAACAGACGAACAAACCTTTGTTTTATAGATCCCAACTCTAAAAATGGAGCAATAAAACAGGCTCTTATAAGCCACTTAATGTTTGATTAAAACCAAATAGGCTAATGGAGATGTTAATGTTTTTATGAGCAGCTTGATTCAATTTATGTGCTAAAGGAGTGATTGCTGTGCCACCAGCTCCAGACTGAACAGTCAGTTTCTTTCATTTTACATTTAAAATGTTGATTTGTTAGTTTTGTAGTACAGTCTTTGTTTGAGCTAATGACAAAACAGATTAGCATGTTTTAAATAAGCACATTTATACCAAAATCAAAATGAATGGCAGAAAGCAGATGATCTGAACAGCAGCCCACCAGACCTCCAGCTCAGGGTGGAAAATTTTCATCCAAAGGAGACAGAATTTTTGCTGCTGGAGGTTAAGAAAGTGGATTTTGTGAAAACTTTTTGTTTCAGCATGACAAAACCACATAACACATATATTTAGTCAATATTTTACATATCAAATTGTTCAAAATACCCTGAAAACTGTTAATTTTTGAAAATCTTATTTAGCAAAATAACTAAATACGTTCACTTAGACTTTATCCAGCTCTCAGTCTGATCAGTAAAATCGAAATCGTGCTTGGCTGAATTATCATTATTTTTTTGTTTTAACAGCACTTCTTTGCAATGAATCTTGAATTCTTGTGAAGCTTAACTACTAGTCACTTTCACTATGAAGTTGTACTTATAAAGATCATACATTGGTAAAGCAATAAAGCATTTAGCAGCTGCTGATTGCGCAAGTTGTCCCACTGAAAAGTTTAGTGAGATCTGCAATATTCATCACAGGTTCAACAGTGAGAGAGAGTATAAAATAGATCCAGGAAATGCCATTTAAGAATTTATTTGTGTAATTGTGCAGAAAAAAGTACTTTGTTAACAACAAAAGTTCACCTCAATACTTTATAATGTAACCTTGGTTGGCAAAGTCAGAGGTCAAATGTTTCTCCACCGGGTTTTCATACACTGTAGCTGGCCATTGGACCATTGTTCCATGCAGATCTTCTCTAGAGCCGTGTTGTTTTGGGACTGTCGCCGGTCAACATCATTTTTTGACTTCCTCCAAAGGTTTTCTAATGGATTGAAGTCTGGAGACCAGCTAGGACACTCTAGAAACTGAATAACCAGACTAGAAACTTGAAGCCACTCCTTTCTTGCCCTGGCGGTGTGTCAGGGATCATTGTCACGCTGGAAGATCCAGCTGTGCTTCATCTGCTCTCACTGAAGGAAGGAGGTTTTTGCCTAAAATCTCACATTTTATTCATTTCTGTATTTCAAACAAAATTAAAAAATTCACAAAGATTTAAAGAACAAAGCACAAACTAAAATCAGAATAAATAATATTATTAAATGATGATAATAATAATAATAATAATAGTGATAATAATAATAATAATAATAATAATAATAATAATGTATTTGTCAGTGCTTTTGAATATAGCGTCCACCAAACATCCCCATACAGTACAAGTAACAGATTTATTATTTAGTATTTAGTATTTGTTTTCTGGACTGTTGTGATAATGAACTTTGATTGTACTGCAGAAAACCAAAGTTCAGGTCAGGATCTGATTTTTCAGTGGGCTTGGATCTTGAAGGCCTCCTGACAGAGTCTTTTTGTTCTGACCAATGTTGTCAATGAGATAAAAGCAAAGTGTTGGTTGGTCGCTCTCTGGGTTAAACACAGATTAAAGATTTGGATGAAGTCTGTTAATTTGACATGTTGATTTCTCTGTAAAAGCAACACACGAACTGATTTTAACAACCTTAGTTCAATTTGTCTGTTGAATAAAACTTGAACGATCCTTTTGGTTTTATTAAGCTTTTTTAAACTAAATTAAATTTTTAGGAAAAATCTGAATCAGCATTTCACACTCTGAAATCTTTCTGGCCTCTTTAATTGTGCTCCTTGGCTTTGAGGCAGAATGCTTGATAAGGGAACAGTGTGCTCATGTAATTAGATAGTTTTTATTGTGGAAAAAAACAAACTTTTTCCTGGAAATGAGGTGATTTGTTCCATCTCCATTTTTGCTGAGACCCCCGTTGACCCGCCGGCTGCTTGCACACGTACCGCTAACTAAACCGCAGAGTTCAAGTTGAAGAAATGAAATTGTGTTTAGAAACATAACTGGTTTTCCTCTGAAACATGATCTCAGACACCGAGTAATTTTTTTGACTCATCTATCCAAAGTTTCAGCAAGAGAAACCAATCTCTTTAACTTATTCAAAATTTTATCTAGCTGTGCAAAATTACCCCCCCCCCCCCCCATCCCCCCCCAAAAATAAAAATAAAAACCCACCAAATAACAAAATCAGTTTTTCAATTAAATTAAACATTGCATGATGTCTCAGTAAAAACTGGAAATTTTCACCAGGGAGCAAACCAAAAATATAACGTCAGATTAGGGATTTTTGATATTGGCTTCTTTTTTTAATTGTTTTTTATTTTTATTTTTTATTTTTTACCAAGATGTTTGTGTTCTGCTGTATCCTGGCTGCAAAAATCAACTCAGCCTAGATGAGTCCTTGGATGCAAATGTGACGTAGAGCAGCGTGGCTTTCTCTGACCCAAGTGTTTCTCTGTCTGTTTTCAGCCAGTGGCCAATGCAGGAAAGATGGGTAGAAGGCTACTTCACCTCCAGCATGGATGTGAAACTCAGTAATCTGTTTCCTCAGTGAACCTGCTCTTGTCAGGCAGTGGAAAAAGTGCCGTATTTATTTGTCTCCAACAGCAGCTGCATCACATTCTCCCTGAGACAATCCTGACAAACTCCCACTACACAGTGCTAATTTCAACTTTTTCAGAAGGATTAGGGTTAGGGTTAGAGAGGAATAAAAAAATCTCAAAAACTCTACCTCAGATCTGTCCTATTGTGACATTCTGAATCAAAGTAGCTGAAGAGTTTGGTGTATAATATATGCATGGTAGGTAAAAGTTAGTAAAAGAGGAAAAAACTATGCCAGTGGGTTCCAGTATTGCATTTTATACCAATTTTGGCCAACATTAATATCAGGCTGATTATGTCGGACATCACTGCATAAGATATTAAATATCTGAACATGTGCTGTTTTAGCCACATTAACAGGGAACGATCCTGGGAAGCTGAAAATAAAGACGTTGATTGTCTTTAGGAGGTAAACTGATCACACTGAATTCATCTGGAGGAGCTGAAGCAGAGAACAGAGGTTTCTGTAAAAGATTAAAAGAAACTGTCATCTAACTAGGAAGTTATATCACAAAGCCTGAGAAACAAAAGAAGAATACACAAAGCAGGAAACAGTTCAAAGAAGCTAAGACCCAATGGTCTAACGCAGTCTCTTATTTCCATCGTCCCAGATCTGTTTGTGGCTTTATGGGAAAATAAATCACAGCAATAAACGATGCCCTGGAGTCTTTCCCTGACCATTACGATCAGATGAAAAGATTTCCAGGTGAGGAAGCGGATGAAAGCTTTATGTTTGAAACAAAACCTAGAGTCTGGTTGCAGAACAGGTATACAGTCACACAGCAGAGCTGTGAGTTGAGCTCTAAGGACTTTCAGGAGGGTTTCTGTAAAGGGAACAGTACAAAGACTTGTTTTTATTTACTGTACAGCTTCTTATTCTTCTTCATGTGTGAATTCTTCTTGTCTGAATCTACTGATGCCTACAATTTCCCACCGATGTTTGGTAGAAGGTGTTTCTATTCTGATGTGTAATCATGTTTCACATCTATTTCAGTAAACTTGAATCAGATTTTATTCATCTGGGAAATTTAAAAAATGACAGATTTCTTTTGACAACCCCCATCACCATCACCACCAACACATACACACTAACAAACACACCCACACACAAAGTCCTGCAGACTGACATCTACCTGCAGACACACTCACCTGGCTGAAAGACACCATGTGATGCTGAAAGGAGGTGTTAATCTTTAGTTTTGTGCTGTGACGCGTGGGACGGCTCATTCCAGCAGATGACTGGACAGCGAGCCGCTCCTCCAGCCAGCAACCCAAAGTCCTGCAGCTGCTTCGGCATTTAACTTAACCAAGGTAGGCGCTGATGTGAGAGATCTGCTGTTCTTGATCCACTTCTGTTGACCTGTCAGAGCAATTAGAGATAACGGAGTACAAACACCCACCAGAGATAAGATACAGGTCTGAAAATGTGCAGGTTTGCACAATAGTCTAGTGATTATTTAGAAAGTAGCTTCACAAATGCATCAAATGCAGTCAGCACAAACATATTCAAAATCAGCTGTTAGAAGTTTGAATGGGTTAACGAGGGGACAAAATCCGACGTAACAAATAGAACAATCCGTAATGTGAGCTGCAGCATTAAGAGCAGAAACACAATACGTGGTCATTGTGATAAGAACAGCTTGTTTCTCTGAAATCGGATCTTATCTTGGGAAATGGTTAATTTATATTCATGTTGCGTGGAGTTTTACCAGCTGATTGGTTCTTTAAAAGGTGCTCTGAGGTTCGAATGTGTGGACTGGAGTTTGTGTGACTGCTGACACAACAAGGCTCTTCTTGGTTTTTTTAATCTGTTTGTGTTTGGAACAGCCACCCATGTGTGAAGGATGATTTAGATCAGGGAGACATGCAGACAACAGATGAGGGGGGAGGGGGTTGTACCTGTCTCCTAAAGATAATTTAGAAAGACCAATTTACCTGACAGTCATGTTGTTGGACTGTGGGAGGAAGCCAGAACACCCAGAATGAAATCACGTGCACAGAACATGCAAACTCTTTGCAGAGAGACTCTAGGCCAGGATGTGAACCCAGGACCTCCTTGCTGCAAGACAACAGCCCTCACCACTATGCCACCGTGCAGCCCATGCTCAAAATATTTGCAAAAAATTTGTTCTCAACAGTTGGAGTCATCATGGCCACCTGGAACCCAACTGGAAGCAGTCTGAAACCAGTCTAGGACCTGTCTTAGTTTATGATCTTGGAAGCAGAAAGTGGAGAGAAAAAACACTTTGAAAGAAGTTGGAAACCAAATTGTGAATAAACTGAGACGTAATTACGACTCATCACGTCACAGGCTGCATGTGACCTGGTCTGAAAGAAAACCTCTAATTAAGGTTTCATATGAACCAATTCTATGTGATTCGAGATGGATGCAGATAATCTCACAGTTTGTATCTCCTGCTGGTCTCCATCAGCCAGTAAGAATCTGAATTTAGTCTCCAAACATGAATCCAGCTCTAAATAGAGAAATGTGAAGATGAAAGAAAAAACTTTTGCATCACTGAAATCTGCTCTGAGGTTAAGAAGTGCACCTGTAAAAGCATGAGGCTGTTTCTGACGGAGCAAAACAACACAAAACACGGTTCACTTAATACTTTGAAGCTCAGATAAACGATTAACCCTCGGGAACATGCAGCTAAAACATCAAAACAACTCAGTGTCCTGACCTTTCAATTTCATTTGAAGCCTTTTCCCTGGATCTCCGGAACCTAATCAGCACTTGTCTAGAGGAATTCCTAAGAATGTCCTAAGACTTTTCCCCTTCGGCCAATCTTTTAAAGTGAAATGATGTGTTGAATTGTTCTGCTACGTGGAGGTTCTGAAGGTCATCAGAGGTGGCACAAAGCTCCAGGCCAAGCTCCAACCGGACACTTGTGTACTTGGTTCTGTCCCACTGAACCGCATGAGGGTGGCACGCCGTCATTTGCAGTAAGTGAGCATGTAATGGGTTTGTACGTGCCCGGAGCAGGGGAGGAAACGGGACACGAGGGTCAACTTCTCTCCAGAGATCACCTTTAATCCTTTGGTTTAACCTCAAAGGATGACTTTGAGAAATATTCTGAAATGATGGAATAAAACTCAGAAATATGACCCAAGTCAGCTTAGAGCATTGTGGAAACTTGAAGCAAAGGTCAGGAAGCGTCTTTACTGTAAGATCATGTTCTGTGTGCTGTTTAGTACACATAAATGCAACACAACACAATGGGTCAACACCACACAGGCACCAACACGGAACACAAATACAAAAACAAAAAAAAATCTTTGGTCAGAATGCTCAGAATCGCTTTGTTCTGTTGACGTTTTTGATGGAAAAGCTGCTTCAGCCTCCTGAAAACAGTGAGTTCTATTCAGAAAGTCTTTTCATGGCCCAGTTCTCTTAATTTATCTGTCGTGATGCTCAAAACCATTCTGCTGCTAAAAAGATCTAATTATGATTTAATCATTTCAGCCTGTAGTTTGCATTAACAACCTGAAAAAACGTGAATGTTTCCTGATTGAGATTTTCTGTCTGTTAAGAAATGATTCAGCCAATTGATTCATCATATTCCTTATTTCTGATGGGATGGATGAAAGCTACTGTTCGTTAGAGCAGGAAAGTAAATGCATTCTACGTTTGGACACATACTGAGAAGGCCACGGTAAATTCAAGCAGACGGTGAGTTTACAGTCAGCAGCTGGGACATGTGGATAGTCATTAATGATAAATGATGATTGTGCTGTCCAAAGCGCAATACTGAATTTGCACATAAACTTAACAAAACAAGGGAACTTGTTCAAACAATACAAATCAAAGACTGGGAACCCATCAAGGCTCCGTACAGAACCAGATACTTCAGTCTGGGGAACAAAACTGGTTCCAATCCACCCGTCAGTTCTCCACCCTTATTCAAGGCTGGCTCCTGGAGGTACAAGTACAAAGCACAGACCCAGACACAAGTTGTTCCTGAAGGATCCAAAGACATTACAGAAAAAAAGAGGATGTATAATCCCACAACGACTTCTGGGTCTGACCAGCAGTCTCCTCTCAGATCCTGGAATATAGATTTGATAGCTAGGAAGAAAACCAGGAAGAATCCTGACCAGAGCTGATGATGATGAGGAGCAGCTGCTCAACTCAGAAAGATGAGTCCCGGTCTATCTGCCCTTATTTCCTATACCCTACCCTAATTCAGGAATAAGTCACCTAGAAAATGAGACTCCTGGAGGATGCAAGATTCCACTGGACTAATGGGTTTGGAAGATCTGGAAGAACTCTTATCCTGGCTGCAATTTTGATCCACAAAAATATGAAATCACCTAGCTAACACCTTCGGATAAAAATAAAAAGATCACACATTACTTAGCTAACCTCTATTGAGTTCCATTTGTCTCAAAAAAAGCACATGTCAAATGTGTGGATGTTGTTGCTTTATGTCGATGCTTCATGCATATGCGTTATATGCATATGTGTTTGTTGCATATGTGTTTGTTGCTTTTGTGTTTGTTGCATACGGGCTTCCACATAGATTTCCATAATATGGAGTTACATTTGTAGCATATGCAACAAATCCATATACAACAAACACATATGCAATGAACACATTTGCAACGAACACATATGCAATGAACACATATGCAACGAACACATATGCAATGAACACATATGCAATGAACACATATGCAACGAAAACATATGCAACGAACACATATGCAATGAACACATATGCAACGAACACATATGCAATGAACACATATGCAATGAACACATATGCAACGAACACATATGCAATGAACACATATGCAATGAACACATATGCAATGAACACATATGCAATGAACACATATGCAACGAACACATATGCAATGAACACATATGCAACGAACACATATGCAATGAACACATATGCAAAGAACACATATGCAATGAACACATATGCAACGAACCCATATGCAATGAACACATATGCAAAGAATACATATGCAATGAACACATATGCAACGAACCCATATGCAACGAACCCATATGCAATGAACACATATGCAACGAACACATATGCAACGAACACATATGCAACGAACACATATGCAATGAACACATATGCAAAGAACACATATGCAACGAACACATATGCAAAGAACACATATGCAATGAACACATATGCAACGAACCCATATGCAATGAACACATATGCAATGAACACATATGCAAAGAACACATATGCAACAAACACATATGCAAAGAACACATATGCAATGAACACATATGCAATGAACCCATATGCAATGAACACATATGCAACGAACACATATGCAATGAACACATATGCAATGAACACATATGCAATGAACACATATGCAATGAACACATATGCAATGAACACATATGCAATGAACACATATGCAACGAACACATATGAAATGAACACATATGCAACGAACACATATGCAATGAACACATATGCAAAGAACACATATGCAATGAACACATATGTAATGAACACATATGCAATGAACACATATGCAATGAACACATATGCAATGAACACATATGTAACGAACCCATATGCAATGAACACATATGCAAAGAACACATATGCAATGAACACATATGCAACGAACCCATATGCAACGAACCCATATGCAATGAACACATATGCAACGAACACATATGCAACGAACACATATGCAACGAACACATATGCAATGAACACATATGCAAAGAACACATATGCAACGAACACATATGCAAAGAACACATATGCAACGAACCCATATGCAATGAACACATATGCAATGAACACATATGCAAAGAACACATATGCAACAAACACATATGCAAAGAACACATATGCAATGAACACATATGCAACGAACACATATGCAATGAACACATATGCAATGAACACATATGCAATGAACACATATGCAACGAACACATATGCAATGAACACATATGCAACGAACACATATGTTACAAACACATAAGCATCGACATATAGCAACACATATGGTATGTGCTTTTTTTGAGACAAATGGAACTCCATAAACCCCTTCAGATAAAAAAAAGATCACACAAGGTGTGTGTGTGTGTGTGTGTGTGTGTGTGTGTGTGTGCGTGTGTGTGTGCGCGTGCGTGCGCGCGCGTGTGTGTGTGTGTGTGTGTGTGCTATTTGAGTCAAATATTTTGTTGCAGTTAAACCACTTCTCTTCATCAACAACAACACAAGTAACTCAGGTTCAAGTTTTAACTTCTGACTCATTTATGTACTTGCTGTGGATTAAACAAATGTTTCCTCATAAGCTCGTTAGGTTGG